CCAAAAACCCAAGCAACCTCACAAACACGACCTCAGGAACAAAGAAACACCATAAATACAATAAAAAAACACAAAACTCCTTCTTCACAGAAACACACCACGTTATCACAACCCACTCGTATTCAACCCAAACGCAAAGCCAAAGAAACACTTACACAATAAACTCCATTTTAATAAAATTACAGGAATTATTATAATGATTTTTTTTTGTTTTGTTTTGTTTTCCTCTTTCCTGATAGCGTTGGCTATTGTGCCCATCAATAGGTATGTTGGTAAGTACGAATTACATACTATCCCCAGATGTCCAATGTACGTGTGTGGTTTTTTTTTTTTTTTTTTTTTTTTTTTTTAAGGACCCTACATAACTTCACCAGACACAGACACAGACACTAATCGTTACTTGATTTTTATCCGTGCGATTAGTTAACCAGGCTAGACCTGAGTTCTCACAAGAAACACCGATAATAATAATAATAATAATAATCTTTATTCCAACCTAGATACAAAACTGTAAACACAACAAAAAATTAAAAATTATATAAAGTATAAATTAAGGCAGTGCGAAAATAAACGAAAACTTAGCTTAAAGATAATGTACTAGGTGAAATAATACTACACCAGTAAGAGTAATGAGAATAAAATTGCTCTGAACACTGGGAGGAAAAGCAAATTCAAGATCATAATACAAACGCCATTCACACGTATAGAAATCTAAATAGAGATCAACAGATATAACTATTTAAATTTAATGAACATATTTTCAGCTCAATAAAATGTACGCAACGTATCTCTAGTGAAGCATTGGTGGAAATGAAGATGTATAACATAAACCAAGCAAAATTAATCAAACTGTAAAATTAACTTAAAATAAGATACATGTTTTCCAACTCAGTAATCGTTTTAGTAAATAAAAATTCCTTAGCTCTTTTCTTAAACACCCGAACCGAATTTAACAAAGAATACCTAACTTAGAACTCAAAAAAAACTTACCTGTAAAGCACAAAAAGTCTTCTAAAGTGCCTCAAAAATCATAGTACATTTTTAACGAAAAAAGTTTAACAATTATTTAAAAAATAATTCGCCGTTATCAGTTTCATTAACAAAGTAAACAGAGTCGTCGCCTTGGTCGACAAATTCCTCAGTCCCGCAAATCCCGCGGGATCCCATTTATGTGCGGGATTAATCTCTCAAAAATACTGCGGGATCCCGGTATTTCGGGATCCCGCAATCCCGGTATTGCATTCCCTAGTTTCTAGTCTATAACTTCTTATTGAGAAGTCTGATAGAAAAAGTACGAATTGTTTTGGATTCTACGCACCAAAATTAATAGGAAAAAGTGTTTTGCCGAGAAATTTTGGTGCAGTCGATGTTTGGTAAAAAAGGAAGGTTATACACCGCCTTTCTTTGAGGCCCTCAAAAAAAATTGTCTCAGATCGACCGACGACCCGGAAAAAAATTTTCTTATAGAATGTTGCCTGTAGAATCCATAATTTCAAACAGTTCCAAAATTGGGCTACTAGTTCAAAAGTTACAGCCCTTTGAATTTTTTTTCGAAATTGGTTTCTAGTCTATAACTTTTGATTGAGAAGTCTGATCGAAAAAGTACGAAATGTTTTGGATTCTACGCACCAAAATTAATAAGAAAAAGTGTATTTCCGAGAAATTTTGGTGCAGTCAATTTTTGGTAAAAAAAGGAAGGTTACACACTGCCTTTTTTTGAGGCCCTCAAAAAAATTGTCTCAGATCGACCCGGAAAAAAATTTTTCTTATAGAATGTTGCCTGTAGAATCCATAATTTCAAACAGTTCCAAGATTGGGCAACTAGTTCAAAAGTTACAGCCCTTTGAATTTTTTTTCGAAATAGGTTTCTAGTCTATAACTTTTGATTGAGAAGTCTGATCGAAAAAGTACGAATTGTTTTGGATTCTACACACCAAAATTAATAAGAAAAAGTGTATTTCCGAGAAATTTTGGTGCAGTCAATTTTTGGTAAAAAAAGGAAGGTTATACACTGCCTTTTTTTGGGGCTCTCAAAAAAAATTGTCTCAGATCGACCCGGAAAAAAATTTTTCTCATAGAATATGGCCTGCAGAATCCATAATTTCAAACAGTTCCAAGATTGGGCTCCTAGTTCAAAAGTTACAGCCTTTTGAATTTTCCTTCGAAATTGGTTTCTAGTTAATAACTTTTGATTGAGAAGTCTGATCGAAAAAGTGCGAATTGTTTTGGATTCTACGCCCCAAAATTAATAAGAAAAAGTGTTTTCCCGAGAAATTTTGGTGCAGTTGATTTTTGGTAAAAAAGAAAGGTTATACACTGCCTTTTTTTGAGGCCCTTAGAAAAAATTGGCTCAGATCGACCTGGAAAAAAATTTTTCTCATAGAATGTGGCCTGTAGAATCCATAATTTCAAACAGTTCCAAGATTGGGCTCCTAGTTCAAAAGTTACAGCCTTTTGAAATTTCTTTCGAAATTGGTTTCTAGTCTATAACTTCTGATTGAGAAGTCTGATCGAAGAAGTACGAATTGCTTTGGATTCTACGCACCAAAATTAATAAGAAAAAGTGTTTTCCCGAGAAATTTTGATGCAGTCGATGTTTGGTAAAAAAGGAAGGTTATACACCGCCTTTTTTTGAGGCCCTCAAAAAAAATTGTCTCAGATCGACCGGCGACCCGGAAAAAAATTTTCTTATAGAATGTTGCCTGTAGAATCCATAATTTCAAACAGTTCCAAGATTGGGCTACTAGTTCAAAAGTTACAGCCTTTTGAAATTTCTTTCGAAATTGGCTTCTAGTCCATAACTTTTAATTGAGAAGCCCGATCGAAAAAGTACAAATTGTTTTGGATTCTACGCACCAAAATTAATAAGAAAAAGTGTATTCCCGAGAAATTTTGGTGCAGTCGATTTTTGGTAAAAAAGGAAGGTTATACACTGCCTTTTTTTGACGCCCGCAAAAAAATTGTCTCAGATCGACCCGAAAAAA